TCCAAATTGTCCCTCCTTCGTTAGCATAAACTCAGTGCCCTCAGGCTTCCTGTCCAAACTTTTGAGTTGCTATTGTCAGTTTAGGAGCTTTGGTAGCATAGTGGCTAAAGCACTTGACTGCTAACCAGAAGGATGGCGGTTCAAACCCACCAGCCACTCCTCGGAAGGAAGGTTGGGCAATCCTACTTCTGTGGTGATACTGCCTCGGAAACCCAAGGAGGGATCGCTATGAGTCGGGGCCGACTCGACGGCACATAACAACAACAACATTGTCAGTTTGATCTCATATAGGTATTTCTTTAAAAGAGCACAGAGCTCAAGGCAGACCTTCTTAAGCTAAACTATTGCTTGGTTTAAAGAAGACTTCTGGGGATATTTTTGGTTTAAAGTTTAAAGATTATCTCAGAGCAATAGTTTCAGGGGATCATTCAGCCTCAGTGGATCCAGAAAGTCTAGATTCCATGCTTTCTCAATTTTCATGGGCATTATTTGACCCCAGCCCCACCCTCTTCCAGTTGAGCGCCTTCCTTCTCCTGGGTTCTGTGACATAGTCTCTTGATTCTGCGTCTATCTCCCTGAGCAGACCTTCACTTCCCACCTAAATTTATAATCCCATGTCCTTGTCCACAGACCTCCTTTCTTCTGGTTTCCTCCTTCAGAAATTTCATCCACTTTCATAGCTTCATTAAGCGTATCTAGGATAGCAGTTCCAAATCATTTTCTCCCAGCCCCAGGTGAGTTTTCATAGCTTTTTTTTTTTTTGACATCTCTACTTGCTTGTCAAAGCCAAACTCATCAGCAATTTCTTTTGCCTTCCCAGCCTCTGTCAATGTCAGCAGCTTTAATTTTTTTAATGCATGGTCTCCCTTCTGCAGATGTTTATAAAAAGACTGAACCAAATAAGAGTGTTTTGGAAAGGGTTCTAACTTTCTAAACTTAAACATACTGTGAGTTTTGATCATTTTTGAAACACATGGGCCATAGCAGTCCAGTCCAATTTCTCCCCCAGTTTTATTTTAAATGTAATGAACCTAGAAGAACCCTTGACATCGGACATGGAACCAGGAAGATGGGGATCTCAGGCTACCATGGGTATCCTCAGCAGTAGGTGGAAAAACCTGTCTCCAGTAGGTAAAAAAGAAGACAGGGAGAGTGATGGCTAAAGAGATGATCCTGGAGGTACTGAGCCCCAATTCCAAATCTTAAGTCCCCAAGCTTCTCTGCTTGTTGTGAATTCTCCTTTCATTTGATGAGCCCCAACAGAATCCTTCTAATAAATCCCCCTTTTTACTTGGATTTCTGTCGCAAGCAATTAAAGGGGTTTAAAAGTACACCAGCTTACATTCCACTGGCAAATTAATCAATTTCCCAAAAGATTATTATTTCCCATCTCAAAACCCTTCTTGACCCAACATATTTTCCAACCTTATACCTTTTATCCATTCGATAGAGTGTTTATTCACTGCCTCCTGAACATCCCCCAAGGTTTCCTTCTGTCATGTTACGATCCTCTATCCTCCTTTTCTTTTGGCTGAAATTATATCTAACCATTTCTCAGAACACAGTACTTCTCAAATTCCATGATCTCTTCCTCCTTTGAACCACACCCACCGCAGTGTAAGCTTCTTGATGACTGAAAGGTGTTTCTCAATCATTTCTCTATCTGTAGCCACCTCATCCCCACTCCAGCACAGGGCCTTGAAAATTTCTCACAATTTCATATTGGTGAAATCAGAAATCATATTATAATCACTGATATACCATAATTTAATTTTCCTTTCTCAGTGGTACATAAAACAATGGTGCGTCTTATAATTAAGGTGTCCTACCTTCTGTGAAATCATTCAAGCACTATGCTTGCTCATCTGTATTCCTGTCTCTAGGGTGAATCAGTCCATACTCTCAGTATTTCCTTAGTTCCTGTTTTCCACTCCTCCTGTTGCCTCATCTTTACCTCTTAATTTTCTAATTTTCTAGGTAGAATTAAGCCATTATACTGCAATAAGGCAGTGCTAACTACATTGGTGTCATTGTATCATGGTCGCCACGTGATAAAACACTGTTTATGATTCTGAATATGTTTGCTATAGAATTAACCCCAGTTGAATTTACTACTTACCACTTTTTAACTTATATCATAGTTAGTTTTATGTTATGTCCTCTATTAGTCCCTCTCTGGAAGCTGTCGAGTTCCTGGGTGGTACAAACACGTAAGTGCTTGGCTACTAACTGAGCACTTGTACTAAAGGTTGGTGATTTGAATCTACCCAGAGGCAGCTCAGAAGAAAGGCCTGATGATCTACTTCTGAAAGATCAAAACCATTGAAAACCCTATGGAATGCAGTTCTGCTCTGAAACACATTGGGTTGTAATGAGTTGGAATCACCTTTATGGTAACTGGTTACTGGTTGAGAGCCATGATCATCTCTTATTCTTAATTTGCACCCCCACTGTACTTAGTATTCAGAAGGAAAATGGGGCAATCTATTTCTGTAAAGATTTACCTGCTTGGAAATTCAATGGGGCTCACTATGAGTTGGAATCAACTTAATGGCAGTGATTTTGGTTTTTGGTATATTTAGTACAGTTTTCCCCACCGGTATGTTCTTTAATGTTTTTGCACAAATATATAATAGTAGCACAGCAATTACCATTAATAATGACTTGACAAAGATTGTTCAAAGTAATTTATGTCATAATATTGCTGGAACCAGGCCAGCTGAGAGTTCAGGTTCTTGAATTCCAGCCCTGGTCACACAGCCTCAGGACTGACAACATGGAAGTCATGTTCAGAACAGGCCTGGAGTCCTCAAAGTAGGTAATGGTGAAGCAAGGGTCTGGGACCAGAATCACCCAGGAAGATACAAGACATGCATAATAGAACAGAGGAAATGGGTGGAGGATTGACCCAGAGGAAGGATCAGTAAAGCTGAGATACATAGATCAACTGTGAGTCAGTCAGAGTGAGAGGTTGAATGGGAGGATCAAGTAACTACAGGCTCCTGACTTGAATCTTCTTGAGGCCTGATGTTCACATGTGCTCACATCCTCAGGACCTGAGAGTCCCTACCCCTGGGAATCATAAGCTGTGGAGTGAGCTCCATAGGTCAGGGCTTACTTGACTTAGGGCAGGGTTTATTATGCCCTTTCTATTGCTGCATCAAGGAGCCCTCATGGCATAATTGTTAAGTGCTCACCTGCTAACTGAAAGGTCATTTGTTCAAACCTACCAGCCACTGCATGGGAGAAAGATGTAGCAATCTGCTTCCATAAAGATTTACAACATTGGAAACCCTATGGGGAGGTATTATTCTGTGTCATGGTCGTTATGAGTAGGAATTGACTAGACAGCAACTGGTTTTAGGTTATTGCATCACTTGTCTACTCTTTACCAAAGTTTGGACTAGACACACAGATTCACAATAGGAAAATGGTAGAGGCCAGGGGCAAAAAGAGCAGAGCAACTTCTTTTCAAAAGCAAGGAATCTGAGGTGGGCTTTCTCTCCCCTCCACCCAGGGGCAGCCTTCTGATTCCAAGTTCTGTGATTTAAAGAAAGGGCTCCCTTCTCAAAAGCATTTCCTTGTACCAACTGAAATTCCACTAATTAGAGATTCACTTAAGTTGACTACCAAACATCTATGACACAGAAAGGGTCAGTCACAATTTAGGGTCGCCATTGTCATCGTCATTTGCCATTGAGTCGGACCCGACTCATAGCGACCCCTCCTTGGCTTTCTGAGGCAGTATCACTACAGCAGTAGATTGTCCAATCTTCCTTCCGAGGAGTGGATGGTGGGTTTGAACTTCCAGCCTTCTGGTTAGCGGTCAAGTGCCTTAGGCACTACACTACCAGAGCTCCTACAATTTAGGGTAGAGTAAACAAATCAGATTACTTTCCTACCTCTGAACTTAGCTGCATTAGAAGAAAGGGTCATTCATTTGTGGGAATAAGGGAGAGATCATTCTAAAGAGTGAGACACTTCTGGTTATAGTAGGTGAGGTGCCTGAAGGTGGGGATGGGGGGTGGATCTTGGACACAGGGCTTATTGAGGACACTAGTCTTCTGGAGAAGAAGAGTTCAGAAAGGGAGGTAGGATGGCAACTGATACAAATTTCCGCAGTAGACCCATGCCTCCTTCCTCCTCAAGACCAAGTGTTGCTATGGTTGATTCTCAAGTCCCTGTCCTTCTCCCCTGCTCTGGGCTTGTTCAGCATGGACAGTCCAGGAGAACACTGAGCTGGCTCCGTAAGGACCTCACAGGAGACTGAATATGCTTTTCTAGGCAGACCTACAAGTAAAAGTACCAGCGAAGAGAATGAGTCTGTGGGGCAAGTGGAGGTGGAGGAAGGGAGAAGGGCAGAAGTACTTCATACTATGTGTAGAATGATCACAAGCTTAGAGAAGTTCTCTGAGAAAGAGCCTTCTATTTGTTTACTTTCACAGAACCTGGCACAGGGTGGGTATTCAATATTTACTAAATGGTTGAGTGCGTGGATGAATGAATTATGTCCCCTAATATTGAAAAATCGTTGGGTTGCCAGATTCACACAGGCCAAATAATTCCCTATCTGATATCTGAACTTTTTGCCTTCTCAGGTAGACACTTAATCCAGTTGTGCTGGTTCACAGATACTTTTATTCCTATTTTGAGTCCTAATTTCCTATCTCCTACCCAGAACGCCTCTAAGTTTATTTTCTATTTTCCCCTTCCCCTCCACAGTTGATTCCTCAGCTCCATAGGGTCTCAGAATATCTGGGAGGCATTTGAGAATTTTTGGTGGTTACTTTTAAAAAAAAAAACAAACCAAGAAGGAACTTCTCATGAGCCAGTTCACACACAAGAATCGAATATGGGCCCAGAGAGGTATATAGTACTACACAGGAACTCCTGGTCTGTTTATGAAGGGAACATGTTCTCCAGGTCCATAGCTGTCCATGCCTCATAGTTTTCCATGTCAGTTTTTTTTCCACACATGGTTTTTCACAGCCTTGGAACCCTTAGGAAAACACTGACCAATAAATTAAGTTGAAAAATATGTAGGAGGCAGGGAATATCAACCTGGAGTATTTATCGATGGCGTGAGTGTTCTGGAAGATGCGAAGACCCATTTGGACCTTCAGAAGCCCCTTCTTCCTGGAGGAGCTGGATTCATTGCTCAGGGCCAGGTGGACCACTATTTTGTCTTGCCTTTCTTCTTCTGTCAGAATATGGCTTCTTGGGTACCCGGCCAAGCTATTGGCCTCAGACTCAGTGTAGCTTCCATCCAGCATCATGGTTCTTGATTGAAGCATTCCACACAAGCATGGTAACTATGGCAGCAAACACAAGGAGAGGTGTCAGGCACATTTAGGTCTGTGCACGGGCAGAGAAAGTTGTCTGGTATCAGAATAAAGCCCTATTGCACTCAGAACACAGAATGGCCGAACTAGAAGGATCTTCAGACAATCACTTAGTCCAATGATTCTCTACCCTGGCTCCATATTAGAATCACTCAGGGAATTCTTTAAACTAGCCACACCCAGGTACCACTCTAGACTAATTTAAAGCTCACAGGTAATTCTAAGGTGCAGCCAGGTCTGAGAAACACTGATCTAGTCCACAACCTCTCAGTTACAGAGGCAAACACTAAGACCCAGAGAGACTATACAAGTCATTTGATATCACATAGCTAGACGTCAGAATCAGGACTTTGAACCCATATACTCTAATTTGAAATATGTGTTCCACCTCTTTGTGCAAGAATGAAAAGAAAATGGCTCAGGACATTTTGCTACCTAATCCTAATGCTGAGCCATTTTTTCATTCATGAACAAAGAAGTGTAGTCCCCCATCTGATACTTCCAAAAGAGTTACATTTAAGGGTGAAGGGTCATAGTGCCAACAATGCATTTTTTTAATAGTTTCAACTGTAACAACAAAAATATGTTTATCCAGACAGAAAGTTCACACAAAAAATGGCAAAATGTTAACAGCGCTGGACCCAGGTGTGTTGGACTGTGGATGTTTATTTTTCTATTCTTTCAACTATTTCTGCAAGTATGAATATGTTTATAACAAGTTAGAAGTTAGAGGAAAGATGGTTTCACTTGGCTTCTCCCCACAATTTGAGTCAGCAGAGAGTACGCTTCCTGCTGGTTCCTGAACTGCTCTTGGCTGAAGGCCTGCTGGACCTAGCCACTGGCCTTGGGCTTATTCTTCTCAGCCTACTGACTTTAATATGCTTCTGACCTGGCTGTTGGCCCTTTAGTATCTCTGTTTTACCCTCTTAGAGAGTGAAACAATGACATATTAAAACCTGCTCCTAGTGTAATGGATCTTGAAATATTTAAATCATTTCATAAAGCTTTTGAATGTAAAATTAGATGCATCATTTTTATGTAAAATCAGAATAACCTGATATTCCTATACATGAAGAAGACTTTTGTGGTTGAGGGACCACTTTTTTTTTTTTTTTTAAATGAATTGTTTCACTATTGTGTTTATGTCTTTTCCCTTCAATAACAGTAACTAACATATTAATACATTCCTAGAATAGTTAACATAGACTCATAGATTTTAAAGATAAGACCGTCACTAAGAGGCCATTTACCCAACTCCTTGCATTTAGTAATAACATCCAAACTTTGATGAAATTGAAATATTGTCAGTGGGGGCTTTTGTTGTTGTTGTTGTTCATTTATTTGTTTAAAGCACAGGTCTTTGCTCCTTTTTCTTGCTTTAAACTGAAATTCTCTCTACTAAAATGAAAACAGATTTTCACTGAGATTTTTAGTTAGAATCAGGAAAATACCAGAAAGTACTGATAAACCTCTGTTCCCCACATCAATGAGTTTCTAAGAAAGATTCAGTGGGTCCTGACATATTGGATGAGGTCTGAATAATCAGCCAAAGTATTAGAGCACAGGGAGGGGAAGGGGCCCTGTGCTTCCTGCATTTTGCCAGTTTCCTGAAATCCAAAGTGGCACTAGTCCACCCTGTAAACCATGGTTCTAGCTTTGCCCTTTACATAGCAGAAATCAAACTTGAGTTAGAATCAGAATCATCAAGCATCTTGTTAAAAATGCCAATTCCAGGGTGCCATCCCCAAACATTCTGAATCAGTCAGTCTGAGGTGCAAGCCCTGGAATCTTTATTTGAACAGGTTCGGGAGGTGACTGTAGCGCAGGTGGTCTTTGGCTCCCACTTTGGGAAACGACCCTCCACTGAAGGCCTTTTTTTTTTTTTAATATAATTGTTCTTGTTGAGAATACACGCAGCAGAACATAGACCAATTCAATAGTGTCTACATATACAATTCAGTCACATCGGTTACGTTCTTTGAATTGTGCAACTATTATCCTCCTTTTATGAGTTGTTTCTCCCCTATTAACATAAATTCACTGTCTCCTAAGGTTCCCAGCTAAACTTTCAAGTTGCTATTGTCAATTTGATTCCATATAGATAGTTCTTAACAGAATATATTATCTCAAGGCAGACTTTTTTTACTAGTTAAGCTAAACTATTCTTTTGTTTAAGGAGCCCTGGTGGTGCAGTGGTTAAACTATTCCACTGTTAACTGAAAGGTGGTTCGAACCTGCCAGCCTCTGGAACCCACCAAAATATGTGGCAGTCTGCTTCTGTAAAGATTTATAGCCTTGGACATCCTAAAGGGCAGTTCTACTCTGTCCTGCAGGGTCAGTATGAGTTGAAATTGACTCGATGGCAGTGGGTTTGGTTTTTGGGTTTATTGTTTGGTTTTAAGAAGACTTCAGGGATATTTTTGGTTTAAGGTATAAAGATTATCTTAAAGCAATAGTTTCAGGGGTTCACCTAAACTTAATGGCTCCAGAAAGTCTGGAGTCCATGGGAATTAGAAATTCTCTTCTGCACTCTCCTCCTTTTCATCAAGATCCTTCTATGGATTCTTTGGTCAAAGTGTTCAGTAACAGTAGCTGGGAACCCTTCAGTTCTGCTCTCATGGCAGAGGAGGCAGTTGTTCGTGGATGCAATGAGCCACACATTCACTGAAGGCGATTTTAATTATCTCTAACAGTGGCTTCTCTGAGGGGTAACAGGAAGGAGATTTTGTTTTAAACTACTACCAGCCTTCCAGCAACTATGGTTTCTCAGCCTTTAAATCACACATTTGACACCATGCTTTCACCTCTGTACCAGTAGAGTTCCTTACCAGCCACTTAGATATGCATAAATGTGGGATTTTCATGTCCCCTGATCTCTGTATTTTTTAGATGAACACTCATTTTGATTAGTGTAATGGCTAGCAATAAGTTATTTGGTAACAGCTCAGTATTTTATTTCTTACTGTGGTTTACTATAAGAGGCTCTGGTGGTGCAGTGGTTAAAGCATTTGGCTACTAACCAAAAGGTCAGCAGTTTGAACCCACCATCCAGTCCATGGGAAAAAGGTGTGACAGTCTGTTTCTGTAAGATTTACAGCCTTGGTAACCCTATGTGGCAGTTCTAGTCTGTCCTATACGGCTGCTGTGAGTTGGAATGGACTCAGTGGCAATGAGTTTTGGTTTGGTTTTGATTGTTTACTAAATGGAACAGAATTTGAAAGGAATAGAATATGAATGGAATAGAATTTCCCTCTCTGTGTCAAAGGACTATGAACATTCCCCTGTAGAATTCTGAATTGCCTTCTACCTCATAGTATAGTGCACTATAGCTCTGTATAGCACAGTATAGTATAGATAGCATATTTCCAGTGACTCTAAAGGCTAAAGTCAGGTGGCAGAATTTTCATTGGGCCAGAGCACTGACAAACAAAGGAGCTTCTCATTCAAGAATTCTCCCCTTGTCTGGTCATGGAAGCATTTTTCCTAGACATGTTCAATAATAATAGTGATGTTTTATATATGTCTAGGATCCTATGGAGGAGCTTTGGTAGCACAGTGCCTAAGGCACTTGACTGCTAACCAGAAGGCTGGCGGTTCAAACCCACCAGCCACTCCTCAGAAGGAAGATGGGGCAATCTACTTCCATAGTGATACTGCCTCGGAAACCCAAGGAGGGGTGGCTGTGAGATGGGTCCGGCTCGAGGGCACATAACAACAACATCATACATGAGGAAAGTGAGGCTCACTGTAGATGGCAGAGTTCAGCCTGAGAGCCCAAATCCTCCTGCTCCTAGTCTTTGTCCAAAGACTTTCTGCTTTCTGGAATCTTTGAAGCAGAACCTAGAACCTGTTCTAAAGCAGGATCCCACTCCTTTTGCATAAACACTGCCATTTTCTCCATGCATTCCCCCTATCTCCTTTCTTACCCAACCAGTAGCACAGGCTTAGACAAGGGAATGAATGAACCATCTCTCACCTTATCCCGCAGCTTTCGCTCTTTCCACTCCTGCACTGTGGTCAGGTAGTTGACGGCCGCATACTCCAGCACCGAGAGGAACACGAACACAAAGCTGACCCAGAGATAGATATCCACAGCCTTGATGTAGGAGACACGGGGCATGGAGGCATTCACACCCGTGATAATAGTAGACATAGTCAACACTGTGGTAATACCTGCAACACCCCAGTCTGAGTTCAGTCACAGACAACAGTACAGAACTACTCCCATCTCACTGTCACAATTTTACATTCTCCATCTCTTACATCCAATGAGAAAGTCCCCAGATACGTTTCCACCTCATGGAACTGCAAAGATCTGCTCCACAAATGACCAGGTCATTGTTTTGTCAGAAAATTGGGCTTGTTTTCTGCCTGGTCAGCATGCCCCATGTCTCCTTTCATTTTAAGCATCTTGGGAGACTGGATTCCTGTGACGTGGCTGACTAAGCATGCTTCAGACAAAAGTCTCCTCAGATGTGATATTAATTTCATATGTCAATTTGGCTAGGCTATGATTCTCAGTAGTTTGACATACACTGGACTGGTTGCTCTTCCATGATGTAACCACTGTCCATGATGTGCTCTGATATGATCAACCAACCAGTTGAAAGGGGAATTTCCTTGGGGGTGTGGTCTGCCTCCAGAATATAAATAGATGTTCTGGCTGAGCTCCCTTCTCTCTGCTCGCAACCCTGCACTCTTCACTCTTCTGTTGCCTGACCTACAGATCTTGGGATGGAAACCTGCAGAAGTCTCAGGTCTACAGCCTGACCTCTATCTTTGTAATTTTCCAGGCTCCAACAATCCCGTGAGCTAGCACAAGTCTCCAGCCTGTAACTTGATCTACAATTTTGGGACTTACCAATCCCCACAGTTGTGCGAGCCATTTCCTTGAGGTAAATCTCTCTATAGCTGTCTATCTCTATGTTGATATATATCACTGACTTTGCTTCTATTGAGAACCCAAACTAAGCCAGATGTGCAATTTAAAACAATGACTAAAGGATTCTTCTGAAGGAACTTTCCCAAACCTCAAGAAATGAGCACATTCTCCCTCCTCTAGGAGGGACACTTCCCATGAAGACTGGGAGTTATTGGAAGGCTATCATACTAATTCCTTCTCCATTCTGCCTTGCTGGTTAGTATAGTACAGTACAGTGCAGTGTAGTTTATAGATAGTATAGTTTTTCCAGTGTCTTGAAGCTAAAGTCTTAGGTGGATGAACCTTCACATTTCTAAGGGCCCAACCTAATTTTGTCCAAATTTACAATGATACAGAGTATGGTGGTGTAAACTTTTTCCCTGGAATTCACCGTCTGTTAAGGTATAAAAACACAGCTCCAAGGAATGCAGCCCTCCCCTTCCCAGACATCACATATTATAGGTCCTGCTCCCAAACTCTGTCTAAACAAGATCAGCAAACAAAGTTTATGTTTACAGAATACTTGTTTGGGATCTGCAGAACTGCCTTTCTAAGTACTGAGCTCCATTGCTGCCAGTGGTGGAAGTCTGTGCTTCAAATAGGCTATATTCAAGCAAAGCTGATATAGTTATAGCTCACCGTGGTTTTTATAGTGGGAGGAACTGAGGTCGCAGTCTGAGTGGTGGAAGCAAGAGGGAGGAAAATTTTCTCCTCCTATAGTCCATTCATTAAGAATTCATTTTAGGGGGTGAATAGCAATTTTACCTTTTCTTTACATAGTAACCAGTTGAAAAAGTAACCATTCTCCTACACCTTATCAAATACTCTTACCCAGTGAAACTCTGGCAGGCACAGCTCTGTGGTCGATCCAGAAGGATACCCAGGATAGCATGACCATCAGGGTGGCAGGGAAATAAGTTTGGAGCAAGAAGAAGAAGATGTGGCGACGCAACGTGAAGTTAATGTACAGACGATTATACCAGCCTGAGGACACAAGAAGAAGGCAATAAGGTACAATTTGACAGAAAGAAAAACAACCACTTCACTGAGGACACTTCTTTTCATCACATTGCTCTTATCATCATCAAAGAGTTAAAATAAATAAGCCGTCAGCTTAATATTTACCTGTCCTTTCCAAAATATAAGGCTTCTCTCCTATAAATAAATATCTTGCAGTATGGAATATATTTACAATCTCATTTGGCCTTATCTAACTTCTCTTACCTTCTTCTACAGAATACTTGTTTGGAATCTGCAGAACTGTCTTTCTAAGTACTGAGCTTCATTCCTGCCAGTGGTGGAAGTCTGTGCTTCAAATAGGCTATATTCAAACAAAGCTGATATAGTTATCACTCACTGTGGTTTTTATAGCGGGAGGAACTGAAGTCACAGTCTGAGTGACGGAGGAAAGAATGAGGAGAAAAATTTTCTCCTTCTGACAGTCCATTTATTAAGAATTCATTTTAGGGGGTGAATAGCAATTTTACCTTTTCTTTACATAGTCTTCCAGCTGCCGGAATATATAAGGGAGGCAGGAGACAGCCCCACGTGGCAGGGAGCAGCAGTAGACACGGCTGGAAGGAATGGGAAGGGGATAGCCCAGGAAGTGAGCAGGGCAGTTGAAACAGCTAAGGGAGATGAACTTGTCTGTCAGTTTGTCGTACTGTGGTGGCTTGCATGTTGCTGTGAGGCTAGAGGCTGGGCCAGCAAGGGTGCCTGTGATGGACTGGTTTCAGTGGAGCTTCCAGACTTAGACAAACTTGGAAGGAGGAAGAGGCCATCCACTTCTCAAAGAATTGGCCAGTGAAAATCTTATGAATAGTAGTGAAATACTACCTGATATATTACTGGAAAATTTTATTAATAGACCTGAAATACTGTCTGATACAATGCCAGAAGATGAACCCCTCAGGTCAGCAGACACTCAAAATATGACTGGGAAAGAGCTGCTTCATCAGAGTAGAGCCTACCTTAATAATATGGATAAAGTAAAACTTTCAGGCCCTCCATTTGCTGAAGTGGCATGACTCAATATGAGAAGAAACAGCTGCAAACATCCACTGATAATCAGAACATGGAATGTACAAAGTATGAATCTTGGAAAATTGAAAGTTGTCAAAAATGAAGTGGAACGCATAAAGATTGATGTCCTAGGCATTAGTGAGCTGAAATGGACCAGTTTTGGGCATATTGAATCAGATAACCATATGATCTACTATGCTGGGAATGACAAATTGAAGAGGAATGGCATGGCACTCATCATCACAAAGAATGTTTCAAGATCTATCCTGAAGTGCAATACTGTCAGTGATAGAATAATATCCATATGCCTACAAGGAAAGCCAGCTAATACTGCCATTATTCAAATTTTCACACCAACCACCAAGCCAAAGATGAGGAAATTAAAGATCTGAACCAACTTCGGTAGTCTGAAATTGAACAAACATGCAATCAAGATGTGCTGATTATCACTGGTGACTTCAATGCAAAAGTTGGAAACAAAGAAGAATCACCAGTTGTTGGGAAATTTGGCCATGGAGATAGAAATAATGCCGGTGGCTGATCTTTGACAAAGGCCCAAAATCCATTAAATGATGAAGAGAATGTTTGTTTAATAAATGGTGCTGGCAAAACTGGACATCCATTTGCAGAAAAATGAAACAAGATCTGTACCTCACACCACACACAAAAGTGAACTCCAGATGGATCAAAGACTTAAATGTGAAACGTAGAAATATACAGTTCCTCAAGGAAAATTTAGGGTCAAATTTAAAGGCCCTAATATATGGCATAAATAGACTACCAAGCATAATTCAAAATGCAC